TCTAAAAATCAAGCCTAATATAAATAGATTTTTCCATATCTTCCTAACACCTTTTATATTTCTTATACAAATAACAGAAGATCCAAGATGCACAAACGAAGGATTGATCTCTTAAAAATTCTCGTCCAGGAACTAAACCCTCAGTATTACCTTCATGTAAGTAACTCCGTGTGTGTGTGTGTGTGTGTGTGTGTGTGTGTGTGTGTGTGTGTGTGTGTGTGTGTGTGTGTGTGTGTGTGTGTGTGTGTGTGTGTGTGTGTGTGTGTGTGTGTGTGTGTGTGTGTGTGTGTGTGTGTGTGTGTGTGTGTGTGTGTGTGTGTGTGTGTGTGTGTGTGTGTGTAGATATATATATATACATGTACATATACATATATAAACATTCCTTGTTACTTCAGGCTATGAAAATATTGCTAAAATTTATTACAAGTAAAAATATATTTGAGACAGGCTCAGGCATGTTAAAGTGGCTGCATCTGAGGTAAGTTTCATTAGTTGGTCATGTTTTAAAAATCCATTCCTACAGGTATGCAGGCAGCTGAACTATGAAATTGCAGAGACCTTCTCAGCCATGATGGACAGCAAACTGGCCCTTTTGGAGCATGGTTCAGGGACACCAACACCTGCTCAGGCCAAGAAGATTAATACCCTCGCAACCTCAAGCATACAGCACTTCCTCCACTACCTTGATTCCATGAAGGATACTGCGTAAGTTTGGGGATGGTGCCGACGCAAGCCGTAGGTTTTTGTTCCTGGTTGAAGTAGCAGGGGAAGGGGTACTTCAGTGTTCTTCCTCTGGGTCTCTGACTTCCCTTGCCATCATCATTTTCTGTGTTTTATTTATTTTGCTTTAGTTTTATAATCTTTTTCTTCCTCTACTTTTTATTTTTAACCCAATCACTATGGATTTATGTACTGTCCCCTGTATTTTTTTGTGAATTTTCATGTGTTTAGCGAGCAAGGAGTCTATCAGTAGACCTGTAGTGACCACGCCTGATTCCCCAGTCCTTGAATTTGCGGGAGAATATTTTTCTTAATAATAATACTATTGATATCGATACTATTATTATTCTTATTGTTATTATGATTATTAAATTGTTATTGAAATTATCATAAAAGACAATGAAATAATGCAAAAGACCCTTTCCAAAATCAAGCAAAAGGGTAAATAGGTGAGATAAGTAGGACTAATAACTGACTCCTTGCTGACTAAGCACTTGTAGAACCATCTGTACATAAATTCAGTAAATTAACTTATATTACAAAAGGCCTGGCATATATTCTTGCCATCCGTTCCAAATGGGTTAAATGTTGCAGGAATTTTGGTGATGGTGTTGGAATGAATCTCAGGTGTTCAGGTGTGTACACAGAGATTCATCCCCCCCCCTTTTTTTATCATCATTATCATCATTATGCAGATTAGTTTCTTCATGTTTGTCTTTCTAAGCTTTTATTTTATTCTTTTTTTATACTCTTGCCCCTTACCTTGTTTTTCCATCTTTTTTGTTCTTCCTCTGTTAGATTTTGGCATTATTTTCAACCCAAAAGGTATTGTTCTCTTTTGATGTTGGTGCAAAAAAAAGAAGGGGGACAGAAATGGATGTGAAGTGGTAAGGGTTTACAAAACCTGAGGTTAGCAGGGTGACAACCTTATCTGTTTTCTATAGAATCTTAAAGATTTAGTTGTGCTCTTAATTTTAAAGTTTAACCCTCTTCCTGGGTGCAGAAGTGGAGAACAGCCAGAGAAGTACTCAGAGGATTCCGTAAGGCCAGCACTGATTGCTTGGTTCCACTTGGGTCGTTTATGGTCGAAGCTCGTTTCTCCGTCCCCCCAAAGCCGACTCCAGAATATTGCCCATTCTCTCCAGAATTACAAGGTGAGTGTTTAGTTGAAAAAAGAAAAAAATCAAGTATGTTTTGGTAACTTAAATAGATTTTATTACTTTTGTTTCTGTTAAATGAGGTCTAAACATTTCAATTTAAAGTTTCTATTACAGTTTGAAATCACTCATTTATTTCTTTTTTAGTTCAGAAAGAATCCAGTGTTTATGCATATATAAATATTATTTTCTGTTGCAGAGGGTAGTGGCATACTGTGAAAAAAATCCAGACTGTGAATCGGTTGTAGCCCAAGAATTGGCCATCTGTCGGGAAATGGTCCAGCTCTTGCCTCTCAAGATGGAGCAGATCAGGGCTCAGTGTTGATAAACTACCTGACTCTTAGGAAACCAAAGAACTTTGATTTCATTAAAAAAATTTGCAGATATGGTTGTGATGTGAAAAGTGCATGAATGTGGTGAGAACATTTCAAGTTGACATTCCATACTGGGGAGGTAGTGAATTTGTAATTGAAGTTTGTTGTTTCAAACTTGGTTGTTAAGCAAATGAGATGTGGTTCTGTTGGGATGCAATGATAAAAAGTTAAATTTTACAAAGATAGCACTTTATACTTGATCATTACATTTTAAGTTAAAGAGATATAACAAGTAAAATTTCAAGGTAG